AATCTTATACATTTGCGGAGTGTAAACACACAATGCTTAAAATACAAAAACATCTAAATTAAAATGAGTGATTGGTTCATTTTTCAATAATAGAATGAATTAAAATAGAAGAGAAATACCAAAAAGTCAGTTTTAACAAAAAACATTCTTCAACTTATTGTATACCAAAAAGGAGAATGAATGTCATTTGAATTTCTATCTTTTCTAACTTACAAAAAATGAAATTCTTGTTGAATGACTCTAGTACTTATAAATAGATACCACAAAAATTAAAGACAAATATCAAAATTAATTCTTATGAAAATGGTAATAACTAACTCTAGCCACAATCAACTCCACAAGAATTACATCCACACATCCGAAAAAAATGATATTCCAAGACAAAACATAAAACCCTTTTTATATCTTTGCATAAAACAAAAATATTTTATTAGATTTTAAAAAATAGGATTTTTTGTTTTTACATTTTAAATATAAAAAAATTATTCAAAAACAAGTTTGTTCTATTTGACTTTCATAACAGACTCATAATAAAAGAGTCAAACTATGAAGAAGAAAATATTTTTGAACAATACACAGAAATGAACAAAAAATAAAATTTGTATTCCATTAACTCATTCAAATATTCATTCAATTTACAGTGATAATGATTTGTTTGTTGAAAGTCATTCTTCTTTTTATTGTGTTATGCACTTCTTTCTATTTCTCTATTCTTGGATTATTTTTATTTGTTCTTTTCAAAATGAAACTAACATTGTATCTATTATCTATATTATTATTTAATACGATTAGTTGTATAGTCAGTGTATAATATAATATTTAACTAATTAGATAGTGTTAATACAATGAAATAGAATAATTAAATAAACAAACGAAATTATTAGTGTTAAATCATACATCATATTTGTTCATTAATTGTTAATTGATTAATCATGAAATTGTATTTAATTGAATTTTAATAAACATAGAATGAAGATAATCTTAACAATATTTGAACTTCAAAATAAAAAGAAAAATACAACAACAAGAAAGAATTAAACTTGGAAATAGAAATTAAAACATTTTAATGAAATATGAATATTTTCATTGAATTATTATCTAAGAAGATTATTTGCTGATATTGAATAATTTCATATTTATAATGAAGATGATGAAATGTTTAAATACAGAAGAATATTTAAATATGTAATATAATATAAAGTGAGTTATTGAACATATTTAGAAGAGAAAGATGAATAAAATGAATATAAAAATAATTGATACACAGCATAAGAAATACATATTCAACACAATATTAATAAAAGTTTAATCCAATAAATATAAATATTTTTTGTTGTTGTTATAAAGAATTAACAACAATACATATATCATCAAAATTAATAAAACATGAAATGATTTTTTGGGCAACGAAAAAAGCAAATAATTGAAAAAGAAGAGAATGAATGATATAAAAGAATAAAAAGAAAGTAGAAGAAGAAAGAAGATAAAGTGTAATAAAAGAAAAGAGATAATAAAAGAAGAAAAGAAGAAATAAAAAGTGTACTTTTATTGTAAAAATTAGAAATATTCAATAAAAGTGTCTAATTTAATGATACAAAATAATTGGTATTGTTTTATTGATAAAAATATTTTACTCTTTTTTATATTTATTATTTATGTGTATAATAAAAAATGTATTACATGAGACACAACAAAAAATATAGAAAAACAAATAACCAAAAAAGAAATTCATATCAACCAAGAAATATAAATGATAGAAGAATGAGTGAAAATAGGTATTATCTGTATAGACAGAGATACATGAATAATCACACTAATCATTACAATAATAATTATAACAATAATTATCACAACATAGTTGATACAAATCATTTCACTCATCACTTCAATCATAATCATCGTCATAAACACTTTAATAATAACTTCAATAGAAATAAACAATATCAATATATTAGAAACAAATATCATAATAACACACAAAGAAGGCACTAACATTATCAAAATAAGAAACAAAATAGAAATAAAAGAAATAATTGAAATACAAAACCAAGAATATTGGAAAAAACTCTCTGAAGAAGAAATTAAAATACTTACACCACAAGAAGTAGAAGAAATTAAAATACCAAGATTAAAGAATATACATCATCAACAATATGGAGAAGATGGTATTTTCTTGCACGAGAAAAAACAAAAACAATCAGAATGGAAGAAGAAACGGGTACGAAAATTAGCAAAGAAAAAATGCATCTAAATAATTTATAAAAAAGAAAAAAGATGCAAAATAATTTGCATAATTAGAATTTTCCATTTATTATATTTTGCTCCTAAAATAAATAAAAAGTATGATAAATACAGAATATGTAAATATTTATGTTTATATTTTATATTCATTTATATTTTGTATGAAATATTAATGAAATAGATGATTTGATGAATCGTATTTAATTATTTTTATTATTTTTATTCTTTTATTTATATGTTATTTATCTATCGTATTTTTATATTTATTTCTCTGTTTATATTATTTATATCATTGTATTCTTCTTATTATCTATATATTATTATATTATTCTTATGTTTTTTCTTTTTATATTATTTAGATTTTCTTATTGTTATTCTTTTCTGTTTAGTTGTATTTGTTTATTTGTTTATTCATCTTTATCATTTTTATATTCTTATCATTTATATATATTTTCATTTTATATTTATTCTCTTTTGTTTTATATTAATTTTATATTTTATATTTTATACTTTGATTTTATTATTATATCATTGACTATCATTTCTCATTTTATTTATCATTTATTATTATTATTCTTTTGTTTTTTATATTCAATCTATATCATATATTCATATCATTTTCATTTATATTTTATCACTTATTATATGTTATAATAACATAACACATATGATTGAATATATAATAAACATCATGATGAAGTTATACACATAAATAATAAATATAAAAAAGAGTAAAATATTTTTATCAATAAAACAATACCAATTATTTTGTATCATTAAATTAGACACTTTTATTGAATATTTCTAATTTTTACAATAAAAGTACACTTTTTATTTCTTCTTTTCTTCTTTTATTATCTCTTTTCTTTTATTACACTTTATCTTCTTTCTTCTTCTACTTTCTTTTTATTCTTTTATATCTTTCTTTCTATTCACTTCTACTATTTGTTTTACGTTATCATTTTCTATAATCAAATGATTTATCTATCATCATCTCTTCTTTAAATATATTTCAAATATGCATTATAATATATTATGAAATGTTTATATTTCATATTCTCTTTGTTTTCTTAATCATTTGATTTTAAAGATACCAATTTTATCAAGCACTTTTCTATCAATATATTTTAAGAAATGAAAATTGATAATGGGTGATAATAAGAAATTAAAAAAAAAATACAAAATGTTTCTACAACTGATTGTGAATTGAACAAATTACAATAACATCACATCCAAAAAATAAAAATAAGAATAAAAGAAAGTTAAAGAATGATAGAAAGAATTTAAAAGAAAAATAAATGTAAAATAGTATTTTATTCTATTGTGTAGGTGTTTCTTATTTTTATGAATCATTTCAAATAAACACTAATGATAAACATTTAAAATAAAAAGAACAAGTATAATATAATAACAAGTATAAATAAGAATAAACTTATGAATAATGCTTTAACAAACTATCATTTAAAATGATAAAAAACAAAAAAGTACAAAAATGAACAAATTATTTTAATAAGAAACAAAAAAATAATGAAATATGTTCAATATTTATAACATTAATAATTGAAAACAATAAATAGATGTTCCACTCTCATAACAATAACTTTAATTGAATTTATATATTATTAATTGACATAAGTAAATATAAAGTATTTTTTAATTTAATGTCAGTTAGAAAGTATCGAAAAAAAAATTAGTTAAACAAAAATAAGAATTATGCAATAAAAGTTCACTGATATGAATGAAGCTAAATTACAAAAATGATTATTTCTATGAAAAACTTAACAGTAAAGATAAAACAATTGGATTGTTCCATCACTTTTTTTGTAAATAAAACAAAGAAACAAATTATAATAAAAGAATAAATTAATTGATATTTTGTTTTGAAAAATCAAACAAATTAAAAATTTAAATTAAAAAAAAAAAGAAAAATGAATAAAAAAAAAATGTTGATTTTAGCAAACTGAAAAAGAACTAAAAAACCACATTTTTAAAATGAAAAGTGTATTAATATTTTTGATAATTGCTTTAGTAAGTGCTGATGTTAGTGTTAATGGTGCGTGGGTAGGAAAATTATATCAAATAAAAGGACAATTAGAGTTATTGTCAAGTAAATTAGATGAAATTGATGACCAAAAGAGACATATTTATAATAAACTTGATCATGCACAACTTGATTTAGAAAATGCACTTCCAGAAGCTAAAACTGAAATTTCAGAAAAAATAGTAGAGATGAGAGGTCAAATTGCAGTTTTAGAAATGAAAAAGTCTCGTGTTAAAAGTGTTTTAAAAACTATTATGAATAAAGTCCCTGAACAATATCGTAGAATGATGATTAGACAAACTAAATTAGAAAGTAAATTTGATGAAGTTGATTCAATCATTTCTCAAACTTCTTCTCTTAAAACTAATAAAAAATTTGTTAAAAAAGCTGTTAAAAAAGCTTTGAAAGGATTTTAAAAATACTTCAAATTTTCTAACTGGTTTTGTTTCTTTCTCTTTTTGTTTTTTTTGACTGTATTTTAATTCTTTATAAAATTGTTTATTTTATGTATTTAGTCACTTTTTTATACAATAAATTTCTTTAATGTTCAATTAAGAAGATGGTGAGTTGATTTTTATTACTTTTTTATTCTTCTTTCATAAGACAATTCACTTACTTTTTGTCTTATAAATTATTAATTAAGTATATAATAAAATTTACTATAATTAATTAGTACTATTTGAAATTTCATTCGTATTTCTTTTCTTATTTATATGAATTAATTCACAGTTCCAAATTGTTGCATAGCAAGTGTATAATAAAATCCTTTCAAATCTATTAATTCTTGGTGTTTTCCTTGTTCTACTATTTTTCCTCTCATAATAACATATATTTTATCTGCATTTTGAATAGTTGATAATCTATGTGCAATTACAATTGTTGTTCTTCCTTTTGATGCTTTGTCAAGTGCATCTTGTACAATCTTTTCACTTTCTGAATCAAGTGCTGATGTAGCTTCATCAAGTAATAACACTTTTGGATTTCTAATCAATGCACGTGCAATAGCAATTCTTTGTTTCTGTCCTCCTGATAATTGACTTCCTCTATCACCTACCATTGTGTTATATCCTTCTGGCATTGCTGAAATGAAGTCATGTGCATTTGCCATTTTAGCAGCAGCATAAATTTGTTCATTACTTACTTCAACTCCTTCAGGCACTCCTCTTTTAATATTATCTATAACACTTTCAGCAAATAATACTGGTTCTTGTCCAACTAATCCTATTTGATTTCTTAAGAAATGAATATTTAAATCTTTGATATTATGTCCATCTAATAACACTTCTCCACTTGTTGGATCATAAAATCTTTCAATTAATTGAATAGTAGTTGATTTCCCACATCCTGATGCTCCAACTAATGCAATTGTTTTCCCTTGTTCTGCTTTGAATGAAATACCTTTCAATACTTCATTATCAGCTCTTGTTGGATATCTGAAGTGGATGTTTTTAAATTCAATTTCACCTTTAACATCATTAAATGTTTCACCTTCTTCACTATAACAATCAATACTTGGTTTTCTATCAATAATATTGTAAATACTCTTAGCTGCTCCAACAGCTTTTCCAACATCTGGAAGGACATTTCCTATTTGAGCAAAGGATGTTGTAGCACTGTTAATAGTCATTAATGCCTTTTGAATATCACCGAAAGTATCAATAATTTCGTCCACAAAATTTGGAACGTCTTGTTGATAGTTGATTGTTTTCTTCATGAAACAAATACCAAGATAATATCCATAAGCATTAATAGAGAAAGTGAGTAGGTTAGTAATTGCATTAGTTATAGAAAGTAATGGTCCCCACTTTATAATTCCTCTTTTAGGGATTTGGAGGTCGTTATTATATTTTTGTGAGAAGTAATCTTCTTTTCCTAATGACTGTACTGTTTTCATTGCCTCAACAACTTCTACTAAAGTAACTCCACATTGTTCATATGCAGCCTTTGCTGGGGCTGCATTCTTTGAATTGAGTTGACCGTTAATAAACATAAAGAATGAAATAATCGGGAAGACTGCTAATATACATAACGATAATTTCCATGAGAAATATAATCCAATGCCGAATCCAAAGCCAACTGTTGACATTATTTCTATTATATCACCAACACGTTCTGCAGAAATTCCTTGTAAAGACGTTGGGTCAGATGTAAGTTTTGTTGTTACAGCACCAACCATATTTTCTCTTCGATCAAACCATGATACATTTTGGTGCATAATAGAATAATAAAATCTTCTTCGGATTCTTCCAATCATCTTTTCTCCTGCTGCCATAAACAAACCAACATAACAAAAGAAAGAAATCATAGTGATAATTCCAATACAAATTATTATCATACAACTCCTTAAAATACTGTTAGCTTGTTCATCGGTTAGATTTATTCCTGGATGAAGTTTCATTAAAACACGAATCAAATCAACAAAATTAAGAGAATAAAATGGAAAGGCTGCACCTGCACCTATTCCTCCAATCAAACCCAATGTACAAAAGATATATTCATGTTTATAGTTATTCCAAATCACTCTAAATAATACAAACCTATTTGAATGTTTTAATTTTTTTTGTTCTTCTTTATATTCTTGTTTGATTTGTTTGACGATACTATTTTCGTTATGAAGGTTTGTTTGTTCTAATGAAATATTTTCTACTTCTTTATCTTCTTGTTCTCTAAATTTCTTTAAGTCATTTTCAACGGTTTCTTGATCAACTTCTTCTTCCATACTTTGTCTTTTGACTAATCCATAATATGTTCCTTTCAAATCCATTAATTCTTGATGTTTTCCTTGTTCAATAATTTCTCCTTGATGAAATACACATATTTTATCTGCATTTCTAACAGTTGTTAGTCTATGTGCTACAATAATTGTTGTTCTTCCTTTAGATGCTTTTTCAAGTGCTTCTTGTACAATCTTTTCACTTTGTGTATCAAGTGCTGATGTAGCTTCATCAAGAAGAAGAATAGATGGGTTTCGAATCAATGCACGTGCAATTGCAATTCTTTGTTTTTGTCCTCCTGATAATAATGCTCCTTTTTCTCCAATTATTGTGTCATATCCTTCTGGAAGTTTAGAAATGAAGTCATGTGCATTTGCCATTTTAGCACATTCAATCATCTCTTCTTCACTTGGTGTTGCTCCTTCTTTAGCTCCAAGCATAATATTTTCTCGAATTGTTCCTGCAAACAACACTGGTTCTTGTCCAACTAATCCTATTTGATTTCTTAACCATTTGATATTCAACTCTCGTATATCTTTTCCGTCTAATGTTACTCTTCCACCATTTGGATCATAATTTCTTTGGATTAATTGAATAGTAGTTGACTTCCCACATCCTGATGCTCCAACTAATGCAATTGTTTGTCCTTTCTTAATTTCAAGGTCAAGTCCTTTTAATACATGATGAGACAGTCTTGTTGGATAAACAAATTGAACATCCTCAAATCTAATATTTCCATTACACTCAGTTGGACATTCACCTCCAATAGACTGACAATCAATATCTGGGATTCTATCAATTGTTTGATAAACATTAAATGCGGCAACTTTAGCACTATTTAATATATTTATTGGTGTAGATATTTGAGATAATGATTGAGTAGCAAGAAGTACAGACATAAAAACGGTTAGAACAGTACCAGCTTTTACATTATCACTTCCACCTTTACCTCTAACAACAAAATTACCATACCAACTTCCAAGTGCATTAGATGACATAATAAAAAACATCATGCAACCAAGTCCAGTTCCAATTCCAATACTTTTTTTAATATTATATTTATCTGTTTCCATTATTTTAGTATTGTACGATTCACAAAAACTACGTTCTTGAGTTAATGAATGAACTGTTCTAATATTTCCTATTGTTTGTTCAGCGATAGAACAAGCTTCACTAAATGGTTTATGGCTTTTCATTGTAAAAATTCCAGCAGACATTCCCAACCCCATCATTGAAACCATTATAAAAGGAAACATACAAAGAACAACTAAAGTAAGATCCCAACATTTAATAAATCCAATGAGATAACCAGTAATAAATGAAGAAAATGTTTGAAAAAGTCTTCCAAATTTTAAAGACATTCCATCTTGAATTTTTTGAATATCATTAATAATTTTTGAAGTAAGTTCACCTGTTTTATGACAATCAAACCATCCAGGATCTTGTCTTAATAATGCCTTAAAGTATAATGATCTAATTTTTATTCCTTGATATTCAGATAAAACAAAAAAACATATTGTTTGTAAAAATCCAGCAACCATATTTCCTATAGCGAAATATAACATTTTTAATACTAATTTATTTATTGTATCTGAAATACTATTCATTATTTCATAATTCATTTCTTCTGTTGTTATTTTAATACTTCCTCCTTCTTTTGAAAAATTTTCTCCATTAACAAATGTATCAACTACATCTCCTGTTAATATCATTAGCAATGGATTTAAACATCCAACCCCTATTGACCCTATAATTCCAATTATTAATAATATTATCTCAAATACTCCTGCATATCGAAATAATTCTTTAATATTCACTTTTCCTCCTTTGATTTCTTTTATTCTTTTGTTATTTAATTCATTAGGATCAGGTGTTACTTCAAAGATAGTAAACTCACTTTCAGTTATATCCATATTTGAACGATAATTTTTAGTTCTGTTAGTTAGTTCAGCTTGAACTACCAAACACTAACACATTAAATCTAAAATTCTATATTAAATAATTTAATTTAATATTTATTCTTATCTTTTAATTAGTTCAGAGTGTATTAATTTGTCTTATTATTTTCTCTCCTTTGTTAACTTTATTTATTATTTCTTTCTTTCCAATTCAGATAACATTTTTTCAGATAACATTTTATCAGATATTTCTTTTATTTTTTAGTTCATTTAAATATCATTTATTATTGTTATTCCTTATTTTTCTTTTAAGTTTCTTTAAAACCAGAAAACAATACCTTTATATTTCTTTAACGTTAGTCTTAGAAAAAGAAAACTAAAAAATAATAACAATAACAAATATGCTCAACAAATCAAGAAATAACCTCCACTTATTTGAACAAAAACAAAAGAATAAATCTATTTAAAAAATTAAAATAAAAAAAGGTTATTCAAAAGATACTTAGTTTCCTAATAATGGAATATACTAATAATTTATTAAAAATAACGAGAGAAAATGTTTAGTAGATGAAGAATTTTCAAATTAAAGCAAAAAAAAGAAAATCAAAATAAATAAAAACAAAACTAACCATCTAAATGAATGTTGTTTTACAATCAAGTTTTGAAGAAATAAAAGTTACAAAAGGATTAAAATAGAAAGATACAAATAAAAAAAAACAAGAAGAAATAAGGTGTTATTGAATCGTTGATTTATTAAGACAACTTTACATTCCATTTTCAAAAAAAAAAACAATTAAAATACGAGAAAAGAAAAAGAAAGAAATGATAATAAAAGAATGAGAGAAAAGAATAAAAAGAAGAAGAATAAGAAATAAAATTCCATAAAATATGAAATACTTTTAGTGAATATAAAAAGAAAAATGAATAAATTAAAATAGATTTTTAGAAAAGTCTATTTTAAAGTTGCTGACACTTTCATAAGAAAGCAAAAAATAATAATATTCTCAATTTTTGTTGAAAAAAATCAAATAAAAAGAACTAAAGTTATATTATCAAAGACATGTTTTTTAAAAGTAAAATTACTTTCTTGTTAATATTTACAATTTTCATTTGTTCAAGTACTAGTTATGAATGTTCTATTGGTTGTATTGATGGTTGTTTTGCAAATTATACTTGTATTGGAAAATGTAAAGAAGGTTATTATCAAGATGCATCATGTCAACATTGTTTATGGATAGATCCATATAAGAATAGTAATAAAGCATATATTCCAACAAATATGGGATGCCAATTAAGTTCTAGCATAATAAATAAAACTACATGGTTACCAGACCCAACAACAATACCAGAACTACCATTAGATACAGATAATTATTTTCACATTGGATTAAGTTCAATAGTAGATAGTTCACCATGTCATCATTGTCAAGAATATTTATTTGGCAAATGGTTTAAAATACCAAAGTCATCACTTCCAAATTCTAGAGTTTTCTTTATACTTTCAAAAGAAAATAATATTGATATTAACTTATCACTTGACATATCTTCTTCGAATTCATTTGATACAATAACTTATTGTTCTGGACATATTCTTATTAATAAAACTACTTCATCTTCAACTCTTGATTTTCATGCTGTTGATACTTTTAGTGATTCAGATGAAAAAATGTATTACATTTTTATTAATATTGAAGAATATGCTGAAGTTGATATTAAACTAATGGCTAAAACAACTTCTATTACTCATAATGTTACATATCATTCATTTACTCAAGAAGACGCAGATTATTTATCAAGTGATTTAACTAGAATAAAAAGTGTTCATTTTCCTTTAAGTCAAGAAGGAATGATTAATTATGCTGCTTGTTCTCCTAATTCTATCTTTAAAATTCTTTTATTTACAATGCAATTTAGTGGAAATTATTCAATTAGAATTGATTCATCAAATAATAATAGAGTTGTTTATCTTCAAGAATATCAAATTGATTTAGCTACACATGGTGCTGTTTGTCGTCATATTTGGAGTTCTCATCAACATGGAATTTTAGGTGATGATGAAGGAGGAGATTCATTATATGTTAGAATTAAAGGAGATGAAAATCAAACAAGATACTTTGCGTTAATGACTCAAGAAAATGATGTTGATATTGACTTACATTTTAAAGCTATTTGTATTGACTCATGTAATCGTGAATCAAAGTTAGGAATTTGTTCAACAAAAAAAGGAAGATGCAGATGTGTTGATGGATATGGAGGAGATGATTGTCATTTATTATGTTTTTATAATTTTACATGGCAAGTAAGTGATTATAGTCAATTATGTTATTATGGATCAAATCATTGTGACCAATGGTGTAAATGTGAAAATGGATATAAACTAGAAGATCACGTATGTGTAAGTGATATTTGTGCTAATGGAGGAATGGCTAAAGATGAAGAATGTTTAAGAGGAAGTGAAGGATGTTTAGCTAACTGCCAATGTCAACAAGATGTAGGATGGGTTGTTGATAAAAAAGAACAAAGATGTATTTCAACACAATGTGGAAATGGAAAAATAGATGAATTATATGATATTAATGGATATCTTAGAACCGAAGATTGTGACAGTGGACTTAATTGTGATACATTTTGTAAATGTATTGATGGATATGAACCCGATCCAAATCAACCAGGTTCATGTAAAGAGAAAGTATTTCCAAGTTGGGGAATTGCATTAATAATAATTCTTTCAATAATAGTTATGATTATTTTAATTATTATATTAGGAATATTTATATACTTTATAATGAAACATAAAACAATTGATATTAATATTTATAAAACACAACAACCATCATATCATTATTATATCAATGGCTCTATTAATACTCCTCCTTCTAAAGAAGCTAAATATGAAATTGATCCAATTCAGTTAGATTTTGGAAATGATAATGAAGCTACTACTGTATTAGAAACTCGATTTGAAAGAGTAGAAATAAAAAATCATTCAAGAAATAAATGGTTAATGATTATTTTCCATACTCCAAATAATCCAAAATATGTTTTTTATTTTGAACCTCAAATATTAATTATAAGACCTCATACTACTCCAAAAGTTGAAACTGTTTATATGACACTTCATTGTACTACAAAAATTAGAGATATGAAAATTCCATATACTGTTTGGTTTAGTAAATCAAAATCAACATTAGAATCTATTGCCTCTCTTTTAAAAAATAAAACATTTGATAATTGGACTCAAGAAGATCAATTGCAAATGGATAAACTTTGTAAAAATATTAGAAGACATTATCATCATCACTTCATTATTACTACAGATGCAGCATCTTCTACTCATATTGATATGGATGAATTAAATATATCTGATAATCCTATTGCTGAAGGTGCTATGGGAAGAGTATATATTGGTGAATATAGAAGTGTTCCAGTTGCAGTAAAACAATTTAGATGGGAGAATTTAACTGAAGAAGAAATGGAAGAATTAAAAGAAGAAGTTATTGCAGAATGTGAAATGATGGGTAAATTAAGAAATCCATTCATTGCAAATTATATGGGATCAGTTACTTATATTCCACAAATCTCAATGGTTATTCAATTCTTTGTTTTAGGTTCATTAGGTGAATATTTAAGAAAAGAAAAAGAAGATTATGTGAAATTACCTTATCGTTTAAAAATTAGAATGTTATTTGACACTGCTAGAGGAATGCAATTTTTACATGAAAATAGAATTATGCATTTAGACCTTAAACCAGACAATTTATTAGTTAATTCTTTATATACTGATTCTGCTTGTTGCATAAAAATTACTGATTTTGGTACTTCAAGAATGGTAAAAAAAACTAATAAAAATGAAGACAAAGGATTGGGTACTCCAATTTATGCTGCACCAGAAACATATCATGATGAATATTCATATGCAGGTGATGTATATTCATTTGCTATAACAGCTTGGGAAATTTTCTATCAAGATGAACCTTATAAAGAATTTAAATCATTATTTGATATTAAACAATATGTCACTGATGGAAAAAGACTTGGAATAGATGAAACAATGCCACCTGGATTAAAAGAACTTATTCAAAAATGTTGGAAACAACATCCTATTGAACGATATAGTTTTGATCAAGTTACAAGAGAACTTGTTAAAGTAGATGAAGATGCACCAAATCACATAGAATTAGATAATTATGTTTCAGATCAAAGAATAGAAGAATTAATAAATAAAAGAACTGAAAGAATTCAAGAACAATTAAAAGAAATAAATCAAGATTAATAACACAAAGTTCAAATTTAATTAAAAATAAACAAATAATTTTTTTTTAAAATCAAACAATTTAATTTTATTGATGATCTCTAATATCAAAGTCTTTAAATGTACTTATTGTAAAATGTGGAAGTTCAGGAGATTCTTCTTGGTCAAACCATAAATCAGCATAAGCACCAACATTATCTAATCCTTCATATTTTGGTGCAGAAAATAAAGAAAGTAATTTACCAGTAACATCCCATTCAAAACCATATTTTTTAACTTCATGACTTCTTACAATAAATTTTAAATTATTTTCACATAAAAATCTTAATAAAATATCAGGTCCAAATGTTCTTCCAATTAGTCTTGGTGATTTTGATGATCCATTTTTAATTTGAGGGTCTGCCCATAAAAATGCATTTTCAATATCAAACTCTTCATATTTTTCTTTTTTTGTTATTGGAGCTCTTTTAATATTAACTGGTTCTATTGGAATTCCTCCATGAACAATAAATACAGAATCTCTAATTACATGACCTAATGGAATAGAAATATATAATTCTGTTATTTCTTTATAAATATCTAATCCAACTTTATTTATTGCTTCTAAATAAAATCCAAATGTAGTATTTAATTCTTTATCTTCATGATTTCCTCTATTTAGATATACAAGAGTAGGATATTCTATAATTAATGTTAAAACTCCAATAATACATTCTAATCCCCTTGATCCTCTATCTACTAAGTCTCCATTAAATAAAACACA